CACGCTGGTGGCTGTCACCTGGTTGGGCGGGGCCCAGCGATGCAGCCAGGGTCAGGTGCTTCGCCTGAGCTCCGCCGGCTGTGGGTGTTACCACACTCAAGGTGCCTTCCAGAAACGTCTGGAAGAGGACGTGACCAAACCCCGGCCCGGCCGAGGCGGCTTCTGCAGCTGAACAGGGGGGATCCGAGCTGCGTGCCTGGCTGGGGCCTGCAGCGGAGCGCAGGAGCCCGAGCGCGTGGCCGGGCAGTGACAGGGCAGGAAGGGGGCGGCTGGGCTCGGGGCCAGAGACCCCGGGATAAGGAGCCTGGGGCCGGAAGTGCTGAGCCCACAGCTGAGGACTGTGTCTGAGCAGTGGGCCCTGGGTTACAGAATCCCTCCTTTGTCTAACCTCACCCAAGGACCAACCGATCTGACCGGGGGGAGTGCCGTGGGGAGGAGCCGGGGGCACAGGGTCTGTGGGGTCTGTGGGGCTGGAAGGAAGCGGGGGGGGGGCGGGGGGGGGGGCGAGCCGCAGGCAGGGGCCCGAGGAGCTCAGCAGACCCCGGCAGCACCTGGGTAGGGCACTGCCCAGATGGAGACTCAGGACAACGCGACACCTGTCCGTGCCTGAGCGCTAGCGAGCAAACAGGCTTGTGCCTGCCCTCCTGGTGCTGAGAGGCCACAGGGTCAGCAGGGACTCAGCGCCAAGGGCCACAGCATGGCCCTTGGCTATGGAAATCCAGGAGGGCCTCCAGGAGGAGGGAGCATTTGGGTCAGGAAAGAGCACTGTGGGCCCTGGGGCGGCCAAGAGCTCTGAGCACTCCCAGGGACAGCCACAGCAGAGCCCCGGGGCGACGGGAGCAGGAGGCAAGGCCACCTCCTGGGACTGCTCAGAGCCCCTGGCCCCACGGACTGGCGGAGAGGTCTCCAGGGGGCCTCTGTGGGCACAGCCAGTCCTTGTGACAATGAGGTCATTGCCGGAGGGCAACGCTCAGGGCAGAAGCCTGAGGCCCCCACGGCCAGCCCAGCACTGGGGTTGGCGGGCTCAGGAGGGGTCAGAGAGGCCACTCCCAGGGTTGCCACAGAGGGCACTAAGGGCTGGGGGCGGGGGCTGGGCCGGGACACAGGTCCCTGCAGCCATCAGCGCTGACCCAAGATGTCCCTGGAGGGTCACTGGGAAGCAGGAAGTAGCGCAGGCCCCTCCGCTTCGCCGAGTCACCGGCTCCCTGAGCCTGGGTTTCCTGGTGGCACGTGAGCACAGGACAGACGCTGGCGGAGGCCCCCACCCCAGCCTGCGGTTCTGAGTGCAGGGTCAGGGGTTCCGAGTCCAGCTGTGGTCCCGGCGTGGGCCTGCACGTCCATGCCTTGCTTTTCCCAGAGGGGCCACTTCATCCACCCCACGACGGGCCTGTGGCCTAGGGCAAGCTCGGGACTGCTGCCCAGAGGGACGGCAGGGGCGGCCTGAGCCAGCCCCAAGCCAGCGCCAGGCTCTGCACGCACAGGCCTCCGCGGGCCCTGCAGCTCGGGGCCTGCCTGGGTGCTCGGTGGGGGCTGGGGGCTGCCGGGGGCCTGGGAGCACAGGCCCGGACACCGTGGGCTGCACACTTGCTTAGAGAGAGGCTGGGCACTGCGGCGGGCTGAGATCACAGGAGGCACCCCGGCGGCCGCTGGACAGGAGCAGCCGCACGTGTGCCCCGTCTACACTGTAGGCCCTTGGCTTGCCGCCCCGCGCTAGGCTGCGTGTGGCAAGCAGGCGAGCAGCCGTAGGTCCACTCGCAGGTGCCGCTGCCGCCTGACCCCACTACAGGTGGAGCCGGCAAACCCCCAACACGCTGCAGCCGGGGCCACCTCCCAGCTCCTACGCGGGCCCCGGGCGCAGCGTGGTGACGGCACCACCTCCCCAGCAGCACTGCCGCCCCACAGAGCAGAGAGCGGGGTGCGTGGGGCGTCCGGGCCTGGCAGGGCTAAGAGCCCCACCGAGGAGACTCCCTGGGCGGCCTCCGGCTCTCCCCAGCTCACCCCCAAGCAGGACTCTGGGGCACCCATGAGAAACCCAGAGGCACAGGTGGCCCGGCTCCTCTCCCTCACCTCCGCCTCCCACCGCGGCCGGAGCTCGGGAAGTCCCCACGGCAGGGACGGTGTCCCAGGCCTGGACTCACTGCTCGGAGCTTCGTGGGGCAGCAGCTCATCTGTGGCCGGGTGGCAGGGTCCCCGCCCCGTCAGAGGCAGCGCCCCCAGCGCCCGTGCCCCGCTCCCTGTGGCTGGAGAGGCGCTGGAGGCGGTTTCTGCTGGGGCTTGCTCCTGCAGGCGCAGCTCTGCACACCTGGCCTGCAGGCCGGCGGCAGCGCTGGGGGTGGGTGGTGGTGCTGGGGTGCACGCGGGCCCCGCTCCTCTGCACCACCACTGCTCTGAGAGGACCCTGCAGTCCATTTCCCCGCCCTGGTGCCCACCTGCATCTGTAGCCTGAGCTTTCTCGACCGTTCATCTGCCCGTCGCAGGCTGGCGTCTGCCCCGTGCCTGTGTCCCCGTGCCCGGAAGGCCAGCAGCGGGTCTGCTCTGCGGGTGGTTCCGGTGCCTCCTGAGGCTTCATAGCCGGTGCTGTGGCAGGGCTGCCTGGTCCCGGACTGCCTCCTGGCCAAGGACACAGCTGTCCCGCCTCACGAAGCTCAGAGCCAGGGCGTGAGCCTTGGGCCCAAGTCCTGAACCCTGTAGGCCACACACAAGTGGCCCGGGCCACAGTTGAGCCTTCCCTGTCACCCTCCTGGGCCACTGTGTGGCATGTGTGACTCCAGGTGCAGTGTATGTGTGCACACATGCGTGACTCCAGGTGCAGTGTGTGTGTGCATGTGTGCGTGCACGTGTGTGACTCCAGGTGCAGTGTGTGTATACATGTGTGTGCATGCACACGTGTGTGACTCCAGGTGTAGTATGTGTGCGTGCATGTGTGACTCCAGGTGCAGTGTGTGTGCATGTGTGTGTACACATGTGTGACTCCAGGTGCAGTGTGTGTGCATGCATGTGTGACTCCAGGTGTAGTGTGTGTGTGCATGTGTGTGTACACATGTGTGACTCCAGGTGCAGTGTGTGTGCATGCATGCGTGTGTGCATGTGTGTGTGACTCCAGGTGTTGTGTGTGTGTGATTCCAGGTGTAGTGTGTATGCACACGTGTGTGACTCCAGGTGTGTGTGTGTGCATGTGTGCATGCATACTTGTGTGACTCCAGGTATAGTGTGTGTGTATTCATGTGTGTGCATGTGTGTGCAAGTGTGTGTGTGGCCACAGGCCTGGGTACGGTCAGGAGGACCCGCTGGGACCAGCCGTCTCGAGGGTGACTTGGCTCTGCTCCCTGGGATCACCCTGATGCCTGGGCTCACTGCTGGCTGTCTCCTCACCCTCCTCTCTCTTCCTCATCACAACCTTTAGTAATAGTAGCTTGCTTTTCAAGTGGAGGAAGCTATGTGCTTTTTGCAGGAATTTTTTTAAATTGTGGCAAAGTTCACACAACGTGTAACTCCCTGTTGCAGCCACTCCCCGTGCCGTGGGGCTGCCGCCTCTCTTTGTCCGCAGACCTCCCCCTCGCCCCACAGGCGCGCCGTCGCACTGGTCAGTGCCCTCCCCGCCTTCCTCTGCCCCCAGCCCCGGCCACGCCGTGGATGTGCCTGCTCTAGCAGTGGAACCACACAATGTGGCCACTGGATCCGGCTTCCTTTATCAGACTGCTTATTAATAGTTTCCAACATTAATAAGCCTGTGGGCTCTCGCCACGTGTTCAGAGGAGAATTCTGGATACTGGCTCAAATAGACCGGACAACATGGTAAGTTTTTAAGGATTGTACGCCGTGAGAGAAATGCACAGGAGAGTGAGGGCTGTATTCTGGGGAGGAGAGAGAGGTCTGGAAGCTAAGTCAGGTCCATCCCAGGCAGAGAGCAGGCCAGGAGCGAGCCCCGTGGAGCAGCAGCCACAGGTAGCTTAGCGTGGATGGCGGAGAAGGCGGAGCACTGGCCGGTAGGCCACGTGGGCAGCAGAGAGCCAGCCTACCGCGGTCCAGGCCTTTTATGCACTCCCAAAGGGGCGTGGTTACAGTCTGATTGGCAGGTGGGCATCCAGGTGGGGTCAGGTAGGGGCGTGGTCTCCAGCTCACAAACCTGCTGGATTTGATCCTCCCTGCCTGTCTTCATCACCTGGTGTGGCATGGCATGGCGTGGCCTGGCGTGGCGTGGCATGGCGTGACATGGCGTGGTGTGGCATGGCCTGGCGAGGCCTCAATGCCGGCACCGACTGGGCGGGTCCTAGACGTTCATGGCCCTTCTTCCAGGGGGTACGCCGGGGTTGCTCCCTCCTCTGGCCTTTGTGGATGGTGCCATGAACGCGGGGGCACAAACACGTGTCTGAGTGCCCGTTTCGGTTGTCCGGGGTGGCCCTGTGAGTGGGGGGCTGGGGGCCGCTGCTCTGTTTCCCTGCCCTGACACGGTCATCCCCCCAACTCCACGAGGTGGGCACTGGTGGGACCCCCACTGTTCAGGTGGATAGACGGAGGTGCCAGGCGGCCAGCTCACTCCCGCAGCGTCCAGAGGCTGTGCCCTCGGCCACCATTGGACTCCCGATCGCACAGAGGCTGGGAAGGGGGGATCTGTGCTCGGGACGCCTGGCCTGGCTCGGCTGCTCCCTGTCCATACCTCGGTTTCCTGGGCTGGAAACGGGGAGATGGCAAACCACCCACCTCCCGTTCCCAGGCCGCGCTGCAACAGCCGGGAGCGAGGATGGCCGTGGCCCCAGCACAGCTGCAGGCAGCGCCGGCGTCTGGGTCAGGCGGGGGTCCGGGCGCAGGGCCGCGTTTATGAACTCGGTGGCAGCGGGAGACCCGTGTGTAGGGCTCCCGGGTTCTGGCCCCGGTCTGCCTGGCTCACCTCGCTCAGTCTCCCTCCGCCCAGTCCTCCATCCTGCCCAGGGCCTGGGGCGCACCCGGGGGCCGCCCCCGCCCCGCCAGCTGCTGACTGCCTGTGTCCTTTCTGTCCCAAGAGACACCTGTCGGCCCAGGAGTTCCAGGAAGTGTTTGGGATGAGCGTGGAAGAGTTCGACCGCCTGGCGCTGTGGAAGAGGAACGACCTCAAAAAGAAGGCCCTGCTGTTCTGAGCGCCCCGCGCCTCACCACGCATGCGCTGCAGCGGAGCCGGGCCGGCGAGACCGTGCAGCCCCTCCCCCCTGCACCTCGCTCGGGCGTCGCTGTGTCAGTGGGCTGAGCTGGGAGGACGGGGGTGGGGGCGCCCCGCAGGTGCAGCCCCCGTTTCTGCAGTGACGCTCCTGCCGTAGCTTAGGGCCGCCACGCGGCGCTTGCCACCACCCAGTCCCCGCAGCGGATGACCTAGGAGGTGGGGCAGAACCTGCCCGGGGGGTCCTCAGAGCGTCTGGCCCCGTGTCCCGCCCCTGCAGGGACATGAGCGGCCCGCAATTGTGCGTGGGCAGCCGCCTGAGGCGGCACCAGCTGAGGGCGACCCCCACCCTGGGCCCCCTCCCTGCCCTCCCTCCGAATGCCCCTAGTTGCCCAAATGCTATCTTTACAGAACCACAGAGGCTTTATTTTGTTAAGCGTAGCGTGAACGGGAGAGGACATTTATAAGGGTCTAGTTTTACGCCCCGTGAAGGGCCCGCAGCCTTACCCTGCCCGTCCCCTTCCGTGTTCCCCGTCCCCTTCCGTGTGCTCCCGGTTCTTGGAGGGGCCCTGCAGACAGGCCTCCATGTCCGACGTCTTCCCCACGCATCGCGCAGCTCCCCCTGACCCAGACCCAGCTATCTTCCACGCCGTGACGCCTCCCGGCCTTGGAGGAGAGCAGATTTCCACGCACCTGGCCCGGTGTCCAGTGTCGTGCCGGGCATCTCTCCCGCCACATCCCCCGAACAGCCGAGCACCGCTGGGCTGGGGACGCGGGTGTCCAGGTTGTGGCCAGGCATGGGTTGGAGCACGGTGCCATCATGGGCTACCGCTGAGGGGCCCGGGAGGCTGGTGAACCCCCAAGTGTGCGTCCTGGCTGTCCCCGCCCTTGAGGGGACCTCCCCCAGAGTCCTCACCGTAAGGCACCACGTCCCGTTTGGCGCTGGAGCAGGGCAGTGGGGAGCACCCGGAAGGCGTCTGACCCCAGCGAGGCCGAGAAAATAAAAGGCGATGTACTAGAAGGAGCGGGAGCCCCGCGCCTGATTTCCCAGACTGCGCCCGCTCTGTGAGCGGCACTGAGGCTGCGTCAGCTCAGAGCAGCAGCAGGGGCAGCGAGCGAGGCCAGGATGCCCTAGCCCAACAGGGAGGCCCGGAGGCTTCCTGGGGGAGGTGTCCCCCACACTGCGTCCTCACAGCTGGGAGGTCTTCTGGGGCGACCAGGCGAGGTATCTGGGCAGAGAGGGCAGCAGAAGGGTCTGGGAGCCTGCGTAGCCGGTTCTGGCTGAGCTTGGGGCAGGAGGAAGGAGAAGCCAGGCAGACGTGTCGCTGGGAGACGGCCTCGTCCGCGCCGGTCTCGTGCCGATGTCAGTCTCAGGTCCTGGGGATTTGGGGTTTTGCTCACGGCAAGTCACAGCGGCGGCCAGTTCCGGCAGGTGCTGTCAGCCCGGCCTGGGGACGCCCTGCGGGCATCAGCCTGTGGCTCTCCAGTGAGCACAGGTGCCTCCCGGATGGAGGATCACACCTGGACGCTGTGAGGGCAGAAGGTGACCTCGGGACACAGCCATGAGCTGGCCTGTTCTGGGTGAACCAGGACCTGGGCCCCACCCACCCCCCGTTCTGCTGTCCCTTCTGCACACGTCTCGCAGCACCAGGGTGAGGCATGGAGCAATGGGACCACACTCCCAAAGCCTCTTCCACGGCCTGTACAGCCTGGCCTTCCCTGCTCCCGCCTGGGCCCTTGTCCCGAGTGGCCACTGATTGCGGCGGCGCTCTGAGGCGTCCGGCCCCTGTCCTCCGAGCTGCCCGCCTCTGGAAACCCCACTCATCCCTGGAACGCCTCCCGGCGCCTTCCTTCCGGGTCGGGTCAGCGCCCCCCATCCGACGATGAGCCCTGTCACGGGCCCTCCCCACACGGGGACACCCTTGGGAGCAGTTGGATGAGCGTGGAGCCCGTGCGGACACCTCGCTGACCGCCACCTGCCTGGGTGCGTCGCGCTGTGCCTGCCCCGTCCCCGTCCCGTGCGGCCGCCACTGGTACTGAAAAGCAGCAGTAACTCCTCTCCACTTGGGGTGAAATGGGCACGGGAGGCTGCGTGTTAGGTTGACCGCAGACGGGAGAGCGCTGCTGTCGCCCCAGCCCCCGCCACGGCTCGGCAGGAGCCCTCCCTACCCCCCACATTCTTGGCCAGCACAGCACTCCTGGCGCCTGGTCAGTAGCCACCACGCCCTGTGCCAGGCACAGCCCTGGGTGCAGGATGCACAGGGGGCCATTAGCCTCTGCTAACTGAAACTCAGCCCCAGGCCCTGAGGACCCGCCCACCCCCGAGGCCACAGGCCAGGCTCCGTGACTGCAGCACAGGCCGGCCTGGACAGGCTGGGGTGGGGTCCGAGCCTGCAGGGCCTCCCCCAGGGCTTGCTCCTCTGCACACTGCCTCAGCGTCCCAGCGGCAGGGAGAAAGCCTGGCAGGGCCACAGCAGGCCTTAGGGCTTGGCCCCGGAAGTGACGCGGGTCCCCTCGAGTCCCCACCCGTTGTCCAGAGCCGGTCACGTGACTCCACCCAGCTGCCATGGGGTCCAGGAAGCGTGGGAGTCTGTGTGTCCCAGGAGAGGCAGAAGACGGGAACCAGATGTGCACATCTGGAGCTCGGCACAGCCACGGTCCTCCCACGGCTCTCCCTGTGAGCCCGCCTGGGCCCCTTGCTGCCCCGGGGCCAGCAGGTGACCTCAGATGGCCACCAGGCCCTCCGCACCTCCGCCCTTGCCCAGTGCGCCCTCCTTGGGGGAGGGGGATTCGCCTCGGCAGGGGTGCCATGTGCTGCCACAGGCTCGCTGTCCACAGCCCAGGTGATCAGGCAGGGCCCAGGGAGGGGCACTCAGAAAGGAGCCAGAGCAGGGGGAGCCGGGGCGCGGTTGCAGAGTCACAGGACTGCAGCCCACCCTGCTGGAGGGCAGGACCACCGGGAGGCCCCGGGGTGCACCAGCCCCCACTGGGCGGGCGCAGCTTCTGAGAGGCTGAGAGGCAGGATGCCGCCTCCCGTGTTCAGCTTGGAAAACTCCTCCAGGGTGCTCGCCCCATGCTGGCCCTGCGCCCCCCTGGTGGACGCACGGCCCCAGGGAGGGGCACCTGCTTCTCCACGCTTCCTCCCGGAGCACTCTGGGTCCCCTGACCATCTGGGAGGCGGAGCCTTCTGGAACCCACGGTTCACAGAGGCAGAAGGGCGGCTCCGAGAGGCACCAGGCCACCTTCCCGGGGCTGCCCAGCTCAGCACCACTGAGGAGGCTGCGCTCTGGGCTGGTGGCAGAGCCTGGCGTGGGGGTGGGGCTGCTGGCCCCCCCCAGCTGGGGAGGAACAGGTGCCGGGGGCGGGATTTCTCTGCCCCCGACCCCAACACAGGGCAGGTTGCCAGGCCGAGGCTGGACTCCTGGCCCTGGTTGTGTCGGCAGGTGGGGACACTCACCATCATGCCAGTGCGGGTGGGCTTGCTGTGGCTGGCTGGGAGCTGGGTCCTTGTCGGGGCGGCCTGGCCAGGGAGTCCTGAGGTTGCTGCCTGTCACCTCGGTTCTTGGGGATCCCCTGAGACACTGGCCTTGGTCAGTGGCCTTCCTTCTGGCCTCAACACCCCACGGGTCTTCTCCTTCCTCCCTTCAAAGCAGCCCTGGCCCCCATTTCCCAGCCTCTCTGGTGCTGCTATGGCTGCCATGTTCCAGCTGCAAGACTCCCCAGACCCCTGCGACCGCCAGGACTGAGCCAGGCCACAGCCAGGAGCCCTGAGCTCAGAGCAGGGACCCCAGTACTAGAGCCTCCCGAGACAGGAGTCAGCAGGAAGCTGGCAGTCCTGGTGGGCTGTGGGGGTCTCCAGCCGTGTCTCAACTGCTGTGCCAGGCACGTCTCTGCCACCCAAAACACGGGGCCACCCCCGTGGGGACCTCTGTGGCCCGTGAATGATCCCAAGACCTCTCTCTCCCATAGGAAAGCTGGTAAATGCAGTCGTCCGGCCAGGCCATTCTCCAGCCCCAACAAAGCCCTGGACACAGTGTGTGGCCGAGGACCCTGCCATCACGCCTGGGACGGGAGGCTGGGCCAAAGCGGCCACTTTTGGCCGGTGTCTGGGTACCAGCCACGGCCCCGCCCCCGGGGCGCAGGGCTCCAGCTCTGCCCAGGAATGACCCTGAATGCCGTGGGGCCCTGGCCCCGCCCTCCTGAGCGCACCTGATTGGGCCAGAGGGGGCAGCCGGCCCAGAGGTCGGAGCCCATAGGCTGGCCAGCAGCCCACGAGGTCTGGTGTGGACATTCTGTCCCACAGGAGGGAGGGTGAGCCTGGCCAATCAGAGTCTCTCTCTGAAAGCGGAGCAGGGGCAGTGGGGGGTCCGCTCTGGAGAGGAAGTGGAAGCGGGTCGTGGCAGAGCCCAAGACAAGACCCCCAGGTAGGAGACCCCGCGTCTTGGTGGCCTCTGTGTAGATGGGCCTGGAGCAGCCACTCAGACCTCATTCCAGAGAGTGGGGGTGGGGCAGGTCCAGACGGAGCCATTCCGGGCCAAGTGGCCAGGCCGAGGGCTGGGAGGTCGGTTGGTCCCGGGCTCGGGGTGTGTGTGCCTGAGGCGGGTCCTCCGCACCAGGCCTCAGATTCTGCACCTGCCGGAGGCACCGGACTCCAGGGTCCTCCGTTGGCCTCGCACACAGGCGCCCCAGGTGGCGCGAGCCATTCCTGGTCCTCAAAGTGAAATGCTCCTTTGACAATGTTGTTAAAATGCGTCTGATCCGTTTTTGATACGTAATAAAGGTTCCTCATGTGAAAGGCTCCAGGCCGGTCCGCTGCCCTGCCCCCGCCTCCACTCCCGCCCAGCCCACCTTTGTCCACAGCTACGCCCAAACACAAGCTTAAGTCGACAGCGGCGGAGGTGGGCGCCTCGCTCTGGCTTTCCTAGGAGTTTCTCGCCTGATGCCAGGTGTTGGGTGTGCATGGTATCCTGTCCAGGAACCAGCAGCCCTCTGTGTGTGTGTGTGTGTGTGTGTGTGAGAGAGAGAGAGAGAGAGAGAGAGAGAGAGAGAGAGATTGGGAGCCGATGTTGAATTTTCTCTGAGCCTTGTCAGCTGGCTGGGAGGTAACTGTGTTGGTGTTCTGGTGTTCTCGGTGGGAGACCTGTCCCTGAGCTCTAATCCCAGCTTTGCTAATACCAAGCCCTGTCACATTTGAGAGAGAGAGAGAGAGAGAGAGAGAGAGAGAGAAGAGAGAGAGGTCTTCCATCCACTGGTTCACTCCCAGAGCTGCACTGATCTGAAGCCGGGAGCCAGGAGTTTCTTCCAGGTCTCCCTCGTGGGTGCAGGGGCCCAAGCACTTGGCCATCTTCTACTGCTTTCCCAGGCCACAGCAGAGAGCTGGATTGGAAGAGGAGCAGCCGGGACTCGAACTGGTGTCCACATGGGATTCCCGCACTGCAGGCGGCGGCTTTACCCGCTATGCCTTGGCGCCGATCTCGGGGCTGTTTTTGACTTCCTGTTCAGTTCTCTAGGCTTTACTCTGAAAGCCACAGGTGAGCCCGCTTGAGAGAGAGATGTTTTTCACAGAAGTCCCACGCTTTTGGGAAATCATTAAACTCTGCCAGGGAGAGAGAGAGAGAGAGAGAGAGAGAGAGAGAGAGAGAGAGAGAGAGGGGGCTAGGGTAGAGCCGCTCAGCACACATGCACACTGGCCCCCCCCCACTGTTGCCACGGCGTGTCAGCACGATACCACGTTTCTGTGGCCTCTGCAGCCAATGGGTGTTTCATATGAAATGGAATTAGAGGGAAAAAAAAGCATGCATTGAATTGGAATCTGAAAAGAACCAGGAGTGGAAATGCTGTCTTAAAGAAATATTTTGTTGGCAGAAAGCACCAAAAAAAAAAAAAAAAACCCAAAATGAAACATTCCATTGAGATGAGGCCTGGGAGCTCCCAGCCAGCTGAGCCCGCGCGCTGCAGTCCCAGCCTGCCCCGCGTTCCTCCTCTGAGGCCGCCTCTCCGCGCACTGGAGTCGCCATTAAC